GGTGTCTTTTATTCGTTCCACTGGGGTTTAGCAGGTGTGTTTATAAAGAGACGAAAATTGTTTGGGGACTATCCCCCACGTTCTAGTTGAGATGGTATAACCCAAGAGGCAAAATGACGCTTGCTACTGTTGTTGCGAGTTGCCATTCGTTCTACTAATTCATTAGTCAAACGCCATCATGCCTTCTGTCGTTATTACACAAACAAAAATCTCTTTACTGTTACTAGTATTAGTGCCTCAATATGGCTACGCTCGTGAAAGCAATACAATGAACTCAAACGCGTCTTCGTTCAATGTTGTCAACTAATATCCGGATTATGCAAATTTTCCTCAATTCTCCGGAGAAATTTTCATAAAAATTTGAAAAACCCGGAATTCCGGGAAAATCCGGAGGACTTTCATCTCTGCAAGAAGATCGGATCTGACAAGGGCTCATGTATCGAGGACACTAATTCAGGACTGAAACTTAAGAGGAATCATGCGTACTACTCCCAAGTACAGACTCAACTTTTCCTTTGTGATGTCGACTATTGTGACTTCATTGTTTGGACACCAAAGGACATGTTTGTGGTAAGGATTGAGCCCAATCCCGAGGAGTGGAAGAGGCTGCTGAATCTGTTATCCAAGTTCTTCGCTGCTGTGGTCCTGCCAGAACTAGTAGGAAAGTTTTACAGTTCAAGACCAGTTCTTAACCAGACAACCACAAACCAGTAAAGCCACAAAGTCTGCTAAACCGTCGAAGAAGCTAAAGAGATTAGACCATCAAAGACAGCTTGATCATCAAAGTGAGACACAAGAGGACCATCTGCATCTGACACCCCTGATGAAAGTCTTAGTCTCTACTGTATCTGCAATGGGGACAGAGACGGAATAATGGTTGCTTGTGACTCAGACGACTGTCCTAACAAACCTTATTAATGGTTCCACTTGTCGTGTATGAAATTACGGAAGGAACCGAGTGGCGATTGGTTTTGTCCTGACTGTCTTGAAGGGAACTTTCTTAAAAACATGAAATGCAAGCGATGAACTCTACCATAACTTTGGATTATTGATCTGTTTGGCTTATGTGCTTCATAACTCTCAATGCCCCCCCATCACCCCCCCTACCCCCCCCCCCCCCCAAAAACACAAAAAAAAAAAACATGTCTGTAGTTTTCCATATTTGGAAAGCCAAGCTGCACTGATGAGTCCTGGTGGGACGAAACGTGAATGTACTCATACCTCCAAAGGTATATGATGATGTGATTGAAAAAATAAAGTAATAACTTGAATATGAGATTTAGTTTCATTTCCATTAGTACGAAATTATTTCTTCCAGAATAAATAACAAAAACATATCTGTAATGTTCTTTGTAAAACATACTTTGCCACAGTATATGTATCACAATACCACTGATAGTTACATATTACACATCAAATAGAATAATGTTTATGCCTGCTTCAATCAAAAGGTACAACAGATGGACATTTGTTAGTCAAGGCACAACACATAAAGACAATCTTGTCCAGAATTGTACACTCATCACCAGGTTTTGAAGTCAGGTAATCTATTGGACAAGTAGCACCAAGGATCATGAATTTATGTCGCACAGTTCCTATTACACACGCCACATGAATCCTGACATTGGCTATTTTCGTTGTCGATTCAACTTCAGTCGCACTCAGCTGTGTTTTCCCTTTCATGAAAGCTGGATATTTAACTTCTGCTACCACAAGTGCTACCACTTCCTGAATGTCAAATCCTCTGCTAGTATGAGATCTCCATTTATAAGGTTATTCAAAAATTTACAGTTAGCTGTCAAGTACTTGTCACTCACTCTTCCACCCCAGCCTTCTGAGATGAAACTGACACTTCCCTGAGGAGTAATCCCTATTAAGCTGTATTATGCTTGTAGTTGAACCAGGTTTGTGCCCTTGCAGTCATGTTGGAAGGTCTGTTGGTGAAAATTTCAAAACAGTCAATAATACAGGTAACTCTGCGACCAAAGTATTTACGGAAAGCCATAGGCATTGTGTCCTTAAGTTCATCTTGCTCCGGCCATCGCACTAAAGGTTGCAGTACATAATACATCAAATTCAGTGTATCCATGAATGCTTTAGACACTGTTGTTTTTGAAACTCCAAACCTGTAACTGAGATCTATAATTGGCATATTAAGTCTTAATCTCATCAGGGTGAGATTTTGAAATTTGTTCAAAGTTGAATTTCTATTTTCACTCATTTCAGGAGCCAAAAGATTGAACAGTGCCATTAGTGTCATAAAACTTGGTAACCCGGTGTAATATTTAACTTTATCATTGTCATTTTCAAAGTCCTCTGGCAAGTTTGCCTTCATCTTATGCACTATGCTCTTCAAACACTCATTTTGTTTTGTCAATGGTTGGTTTTCTTTCTTCAGCTGAGAAATTTCTTCATTTGCCAAATCCAGCTTCTCAGCATCAGACAATTCCTCTTCCACCTCACGTACCTCTGGTAATGATTCTTCTGTTTCCACTGGTAAATCAGCTCTACTGTCAGCTTGCAAGTATGTGCTGAGTTCCAAAAGACTCATAGCGGCTTCAGTCTTTTTCCTTGCATCTTTCCTGTTTAGAAGTCTCTCATGTCTGATAGCAGCTTTTGATGGTGATCTTGGAGTTTCATATCCTAATAGTTTGCTTGGTGCCCAATCGGGATCAGTTTCATCATACAAGTGAGGCTTTCCTGAAATGCAAATATTAATATTAACTATTTATAGCAAGAGGGATTGCTTTAGCTTACTCACAGTGGAATAACATTTAATTAGAATGTATACCTTACACCAGGCTAGTTACATTTTTCTTCTCATGTAGTGCATTATATAGTTGTTGGAATAAATGTAATTCTGTTATCCCATATTTACTCTCTGTGTAACTTTAAAACCTGTTTCAGAGTGATACCTCGCAAATACCTCATATACAACGGGGTAGGTTGATAATGGTGACTTGTCGGACTGGGAGAGCTCAGGCTGCTCCTGTTCTAGCTTTTAAGACAATATCTTGTTAAATGAACGGCTTCTGGTCAAATTAACTGTTGCTTGTGAGAAGATAACATCAACCCCAGGACAAAGTCTAGTTTGCTTAGTGCCCAATCGGGATCAGTTTCATCATCCAAGTGAGGCTTTCCTGAAATGCAAATATAAATATTAACTATTTACAGCAAGAGGGATTGCTTTAGCTTACTCACAGTGGAATAACATTTACTGTAATTAGAATGCATACTGTACCTTACACCAGGCTAGTTACATTTTTCTTCTCATGTAGTGCATTATATAGTACCAGTGCTAAACTCTAAAAATCATATTAATTTATAAATACACAAATATAATATAAACATAATTTCTACTACTATTATCCATATACCAGTATATAAGAAATAGGGAAATATGCACTATGCCATGACACGACACAAGGAGAATGACAATGTACACGGTGTACCATGTGCACATTATGCATTTCGATCCGAATACGTGCCATAGCACTCTGTTTTTCATGTTAACATTATCTATTATTGCCTGATACATTAACTCTATAACTATGACGAAGTTTTGTTTACATAGCCGATATGAAGTGATCAAAACACACACAAAGTTGGTCGTAATTTTTCACATCAGAACGGTTGATACCAGCAAGCCACTGTCTTCTACGTCGCTCACTTTTCTTTTCTGCCGCCTCTCCTTGGCCTTTCGTAACACTAGGAATGCGATAAAAACTCTTTTTATCCCTCCCACCTCGGTTGTGACAGTTGACAATAGCACATGTCAGTGGCATATTCTTGGATGAATGAACATTCACAATAGACTTCGTGTATGGCTTGTTTATAACAGCCCTCCAATATGGCCGCTGGTAGTGCATTGTGGGTAATTGCGAAAAGGACGGAGCCCTCTATTGACAGATGTCTGTGCTGCTCAACTACCCATGTCCAAAAAGATAATTTTGCACTTTCTGTAGTTAAAAAAATGTTTTCTGAATCACATTTGCAGGTCTAGTGGTTGAGCCCATGGTGTCATCGTGTTGCCACGGCATTGTTGGCTGCAGGATCTGCATTGAACAATGGCAGAAAAATTCTACAACTTGCCCAAAATGTCGAGGGGATGAGTTTGACCTCAAAGTGCAAAAACTCTCCGGACTGTGTGATTCATTGGCTGTGCTGGAAAACACACTGTACTAGTTAAACTATACAGTATATAGTCATGCTGTGAATTGTTGAAGGGAGCGGGCCTGCTGAGGATGAGCCCTTCTTCGAGAAGCTTTTCTTCATGGCCCCTGTCATCGACCCACAGTACATGCTGGAGTGGGTGGATGATGTCAGTATGCCAACGTGGTCTCTCGATGAAACGGAGGAAAAGAGGAGAAGTGTAAAGGAAACCCTGAAAGGTATCATTCAAGATGTTCAGAGCAATTCCATGAGAATCGCTCAGAGTATGTAACATGAATAACATAAGATTATCTGCTGAAATATTCTTTTAGAAGAATTTGGTTCAAAAATGTATTTACTGTACTGCTTTTATTTGTTTGATGCAAAACTAATGATAATCTTTAACAATTTTAGGATGAGTACTTAACGTTACTCACGTCACATACTTTAAAAAATTCTCATGGAATTACCCTTCAGTTATTTTGTTAATTAGGCTCCAGGCTGTAATTGCATATTCAGCAAGACTAAATGTCCATGGTTGCAAGAAAATTAATTATATTGAAAATTATTCTGTTTGTATTTGTGTGTGCTTACAATCAATGCTATTACTAATTACTTTACTCTTGATTTTGCACATATCTCTAACTATTACCAGGATCTTTAAATGATAGTAATACTTCATTCTTTACAAGTAATCATTTAAATTATTTATTATTAATAATTTTTCAAAAACAATGTGTATCCAAGCTGCTTCACCTAATTAGGATGAAGAACCATGGTATTCCTTGATATTCTTTGGTGGACATGATGGAAGTAAAATGTTCTGATTGTTGTATCCATTGTCTCTTATTTTTATTTTCTACTCCCATAGCGGCCAAATACAAGCAGAAGAGAAAGCGAGCAAAAAGTGGTGGCAAAGAGAGTCCACGTGCCCAGTTAGCATCTGGAGAACGAGGTGGCGGGCGAGGAGCCGGTGGCATTTTGGAGACCTGGTGGGATGGCCAGTGTGAAGTATCCTGCTTTGTTGTTGCTGGCGCAGCATATCCTACCGGTACCTGCGAGCAGTGCCCCTGTTGAGAGAGTTTTCAGCAGGGGGGGGGCGTTATCATGCGGCCACACAGGGCACGGTTGTCAACAGAAATGCTGGAAGTGTTGATGTTTTGGAAATGTAATGAAAATGTGTTGGTGCTGTAGTAGTATTAGTAGTTGTTGTGTAATGTGTACAATAAAAGGCTGGGAAACTGACTGTGCTCATTGCCGTTTATTGTCAGTCGCAACACTTTTATATCCACGCTTTCCGGCAATTCAACACTTTACGGCCGTCACGGCCGTAACATCGCGCGGTCATAACATTACCCTGTGGCTGTAGTTGCATGCCACAGTAGTATTAGTGGTAGTGGGAATAATAGTAGTACTCAGAGAATGTTTAGAGATTACCGCTTTTTCTGCAGTCAGTGATTGACTCCTATGCAAAGTCATTTCTCAACATGTCTTCCGTGCCATGTCATGCATGTTGAGTGTTGATTTACTTCATATTAAGAAACTACTGCACTAAAACTTTAATTCATAAATGTATATCATATGCTTTTTTTTTTCTCAGTATAAATAACACGTACCCTGACTGTTCTACTCTTTGAATAAAAACACTTCATTCCAGCGTTAGGGAGTGACGGGTGCTAGGAGTTATGGTGGAGGGGTGTTGCAAATCATGAAGACCTGCCAAGTGGTATGATAGCATTGTTTTATACATGTCCTCAGCTAGGCCTCGGCTTCAAAATCAGTCCTTGGTCCTTGGCCTTGCCTCGGAACATTCTCCAAGTCCTTGGCCTTGGCCTTGGCCTCGGAGTCAAGTCCTTGGCCTTGGCCTCGGGTTGCCGGTCCTCGGACACAACACTGCTGGTTATGCAGTCAAGAGTCAAGCCTTGGAGTCTCTTCAAACTGGCAACGGTCAAGGGCTGCATATCCAGCAACATTCAACAACTCCAGTTAAGCAGGTATTATTACATATGTTACAAAGTGGTGTCAGAGGTGTCAACGACACCAAACACATAATAATAGTCCATGACATTTTTGTTGTTTTGTGTTTGTGGTTATAGTTACAAGATTTGTGGAATCGTAAGCCAGCAGAAGTTGTGATTGCAGTGCTCCCTTCGTTACTGAAAGACCGCAGCTTGGTAATTCGGCACAGTGAGCTATGTTCACTCCGACCTCATGAGTGGCTCACTGGCAAGGTGCAATTCTCATTTTGTTTGTATACTGATTAAATACAATCATTAAATACTCATTTGAAAATAATGCCACAAAAATATTGCTCTCCTACATATATCATTGAAGGATTGTTTCACGTTTTGCCAAAGAAACTCATTGTGAAGAGGGGCCTTGATATTATGAGTTACTACACTGCTGGACTGATTCTCTCTGGTGACAAGAGTAAGCTTCCATGGCAGTGTTTCCCAAAGGTATTGTTATGACCCGGGGAAGGGGCCCCAAGCCAATTAGGGGGATAGCTCTCAAAACCATGATGCGCTTACTACCTCGATGAATGTAAGTTATAAGAGTTAATCTTTTATTTGCATTGACAGGAAAACCTGAACTCTTACAAGGGAATTTTATCCTTTATAAATATAAACAATAACCACTGGAAACTTCTGGTGAGTACAGTTCATGTATTCACATTGAAAAGAAAAAAATGCATTCCTTGCCTCGAATAGTTACAAAGGTGTTTTTCCTAAGTTTTGAATATTGACAATGCTCATGAGCAACCTCTAGTTAGTACAGCACTTTCCCTAAATATATAACAATGCATGTGTAACCTTGGATTTCTTTTTACACCTTTTCCAGGACATAAATGCTGTTACTGTCATAGTATATCTGGTCGATCCCGCCCAATGGCATACATAGGTCAAAGATTCCAAGACTGCAGCCAAAAGATTCCTGTATTTATAATTCCATTTCACCACTGCAGAATATGTAGATGTGGTCCTAACATATCTTAGCCTACACCTAAACTTAATTATGCCACCTGCAACGCAGATGTGAATATTTTCTCATCAACAAGATGAAACTTGACTCAACAAACTCACGACTTGAAAGTTTTTTACAGGGAAGTCCAAGAAATAAAAACCAGTATCAACTTCACCCAAAAGGAGGAAACGACATTTAAAAAACAGCAAATTAATGAAACTGACCACTGTAAAAACATGCAGCCTGAAATATACAAAATATGTGACAGTCTGCTAGTATTAACTGACAAGATGGACTACTTGGCAGGACAGTCAAAAAGAAAAAACTTGGTAATTGATGGAATTGAGGAAATACAAGGAGAAACGTGGACTGAAACGGATCAAAACGTGCAAAAAATCTTCAAGGAGCAACTGCAGATAAAGGAGACAATCGAGGTGGAATGTGCCCATCGCACTGGAAGGCACGAACCGGGGAGACCTCGACCTAGGTCAGTTGTGGTGAAATTTGAAAAATACAAGGACAGAACAAGGATTCTACAGAGAGCAAAATATTTAAAAGGCACCAAAATCTACATTGACGAAGACTTCACAGATGCCGTGCGTCAAAAAAGAAAAGAACTGCTTCCAAAATTAAAAGCTGCAAATGATGACAGAGGGAAATTGCCTACTAGAGGCATGACAAACTCATAGTCTACCCCCGCACCAGTACGTTCTCCAACTCAACAGGTTCGAGTTCAACACGTGGCATGCTGATCACCACCAGACAAAAACTCTGACTCTACTGAAGTAGGAAATCCACATACCGAAAACATGGACTTAAAAACCTCTGATTATGCTGACCACAAGACATTCGACCCTGAGAACAACTTGGACCCGGACAATCATTTCTTCAATCTTAATCACAGCATCGAGTATTACATGGACGAAGAATTCAACACAAATGTAGAACTGGAAAATACACTTTCAGTGATACACTTAAACAGTAGAAGTCTCGATAAAAACTTTACAAAAATCAAAAGAATAGTTGACTAAATTCAATCAATTTAAAATAATTGCCATGTCAGAAACTTGGCTTGACAATGAAAAAACAAGTGAAATGAAAATTGAAGGATATGAAATGTTTGCAACAAATAGGGAAAACAAAAAAGGAAGGGGGGGTCGCAATATATGTAGACAAAGCTCTACGATGCAGTAAAATCGAGAGCCTGACAAACACAACAGAGAATCTAATGGGATTCCTAACTATTGAAATACATATTAAAAAGGTATCAAATGTCATCATAAGTTGCATTTGTAGGACACCAGAATCATGTCTTGACACATTCAATAAAAAAATTGACAGATATGCTAAGCTACTCCAACAATAAGAAAACATGAATATGTGGCGATTTTAACATCGACTTATTAAACCCAAATGGACATAAAAAAACCAAGACTTCATAAATACGATGTATAGCAACAGTCTTTTCCCAGTAATCCTGAAACCAGGTAGAATAACAGTTGATACAGCCACATTAATAGATAAGATTGACCATGAAATGGAAAGTGGACTTCTCATTACTGTCTTTGCAGTTTTTCATAATTATTTTGAAAGAAAAACAAAGTTAACAGCTCACGTATCAGAAATAAGACTAAGAACCCAACACTCCATCGCAGCTTTCAAGCTCGACTTAGAAAAACAAAACTTGTCCGAGGTCTACTCAAACGAAGACCCAAATAATGCGTTCGACACATTTCAGTCAACCATAACCTCCTTATA